ACACCGCCACCCAACACGGCGGCTGGTGGCGGCAGGAGGCGGCAGCCACCACCTCATGGTGGTGGTTAGGGTTTCTTTTCACTATCCCAATTTCTAATTACAATTTACAACGCAAAATCCAAAAATAAACATACACTAAGCTAAGCTAAACACACACACACACACATAGCCACCTGGTGGTGGCCGGCGGTGGTAGATGGTGGCAGCCACCACCTCACGGTGGTGGTGGCCTTTTCTTAGCTTTCCGACCAAACAGAACACACAACTTTCCGACCAAACAGAACACACACCCACACTAAGGCTTGAGAAACGGTCCCTGCCACCCACTTGGTGGCTCACAGCAACGGCAGCGACAACACAAACAGCGGCAAAGGCGACACACCGGAGGATTGCGGTGACAGCCACCATGGCCGGCTACCATGGTGGTTCTTCACGGCTCCAACTCGTCAGAGCCCCAAACCTACGAACACAACAGCCCCTCAGGGTGGCAAATGACGACCGGAGCGACATACTTGAGCCATACGGAAACAACAGTCGCGACTGAGAAATAGCACCGAGAGAACGGTGAGGAGGATGAGCGGAGGCCGTCGTGGACCGAAGCAGCGTTGACCGCCGGCTAGCGGCGCCTTCGTCTTCAACTGATGGAGCGTAACGGCGGCAACGAACACACCCGGAACCCGTCGTCGACATGTTCTCGCCGAAAGCTAGGGGCTGTGACGTGTTGGCTGATCGGAAACGAACTAGGCGGTGGCGTCCGGTGGTTGACGACCTCAACAGAGGTGGTGGTGCGGCGCTGGAGGACGAAGAGGCGAGAGCGGCGGATGGAGGAGGAGGGAAGGTGGCGACTGCTTATCATTTAGGGTTAGGGTTGGGACGGGGGTGACAGGTTTAAATACCCCGATCGCCTTAACTAGTTTCCATAATAACAAGTCTAGTCCCTCCCTTCCCTTATTTCTTTCAAAATAAATCCCTATTTTACCTTTTTAACCCCATCCATCTAAAATCCTTACAAATTGAATCCGAAATTTACCATTTAACCCTTGCCTCCCAAAATCTATCTAAATTAAGTCCCAATAATTACCATGCAACCCCTCTCTCCACAAAACCTTTTCAACTTAGGTCCAGAACTTACTTTTTAGCCCTTGCTTCCATAAATCCTTTCATATTAGGTCCAAATGATACTAAACACCCCCCTGTCTTCTAAAAATCTTTACAAAATAAGTCTCGAAATTAAACTTTAACCCCCGAAACTCTAATCATGCCATTTGGCTTCCCGAAACTAACACTCTGGTAATTATTATTCGATTTTGGGCTATAATAATATAAAATAATAATAAAATTACTTCTCGGGGTCCCGGGTTTATTATTTTAATTATTCTTCTTAAAACGGGATGTTACATAGGCCACTAGTTTAATTACTGTAAGGCTTGTAATATTTTGTTATGCTTATGTTTCTGTATTGACGATGACATCCTAATGTTTTAAATAAAAATAAATTTCTTCGGACTTGCTTTCATAACATCTTTATCATGTTTTCTGGGAACATATTCTGCAATACTATTTTTCAAAAAGGATACTCTTATTTTTAAATAAGCATAAACAAATCGGTCTTTTCTGGCCGTGAAAATAGGGATGTCACAGGTATTTAGGTTGATAATGTTCAAATCCAATTGGATCCTCTCTTAAGACTTAAATATTTCCACAGTGTGTTTAAATTACTTCATTTTTGTATCAATAAATTTCTAACTTGTATAAGGCGAGTTTAATCTAGAAAATGATCAAATGCTGATGTCAAGAACCCCTGGTAGTGGTGGTGGTCCGGCTGACTGAATCAACATGCATATTTGAAGAGTAGTGCCTTTACAAGGTTCGAAGCTACTCCCGAAACCTCTATATAATTTCATGTTAGAATTGCAATGCAAAAAAATGATCAAATTAAGTAATTAATAAGAGACCAAAGACAAGTTTAAGGTCTGCTGGACAACTCATGTTGTTTGACTACAAACTACCAAACTAGCATTCACTTCAAGCTGCCTTGGTAGTCATGTTGTTTGTGCCTCTATGGCACCCTTACTACATAACATCTATTCTGACCTATTCTTCGAGGCAACTCAAGTTGTGCCTAAAGTTTTTTTTCCAAGAAACCATTTCTAACTCCAAATTATCACAATTTTAATTCGTCAATCTTATCCAATTTCAAATTGTATGAGTATACATATATACTCATAAAACGTAACTCTTTTCAGTTTCGTAAGATCTTGAACATTCCATAAACTCTCCATTAACATTGCTTTTAATTTTGTACCTAAAACTGAAAGTGTGCTTGATGATTATCACAAATTTCTTGAAACCTAGTCAAAGGGTAGAATAAAAATACGGAAAGTGAACTTACATGAGTATCCATAAATTTATTGATTATCAAAACATCCTATTTCACATACCTGTTTTCGAAGGCTGCCCAGAGTGGAAGACCCAAGACGCATGAGAGGCTGCGTGGAGCCCCCAAGATGCGTAAACACCGTCCCTAGGTCCGGTGCTCTGGCTGTGGCATGAGTGCAAAGATGGAGGCTATGATTAGCTATCTCGATTTTGACCGTTGGGGGCGCGAGGGGGGGGGGGGGGGCATTTCGCCCGTTTAAAAATTATTAAAAAAACATACATTCAATTATTAATTAACTTTCTCTCTATATATACATATATTTTACACATTTTTTCACAACAAAATACACACACTCTTTCAAAACAATCACACTTTAAAAAAATGGATAATTTTTTCGGTTCAATTTCTTCTTCATCCGATAATGATTCTGATGACAAGTTGGTTTTGCATACACTGTTGTTTGCGGCACAAGACATGGTACGTGAGAGAGGTGAAAGTTCACACAACAAGAAGAAGCATAGAAAATGGATCAACCGGGATTGAGAGGTGGCAAATAAACTTTTGGTACGTGATTATTTTTCCCCTGATAGTTTATATAATCTATCAAAATTTGAAGAACGTTTTTTGTATTAGTAGAAATTTATTCTTACGTAGAGCTAGAGATTTGGAACGTAATTATGAGTTTTTCTAATTAAGATGTGATGCTATAGGTAAACGTGGTTTTACTACAATACAAAAATGTACGACCGCTCTTAAGACAATTGGGATATGGCATAGCCGCAGACGCATCAGATGAGTATTTGAAAATTTATGAGAGAACAGGTCGAGACTGTACATATCTTTTTTGTGAGTATGTTATAGAGCTTTACCCTGACATATACTTGCGACATCCGACTAAAAGTGATGTCGAACAGTTATATGCAGCGCATCGAGCTAAACATGTTTTCCAGGGATGCTTGGTAGCATTGATTGTACATATTGGGAGTGGGCAAATTGTCCCAACGCATGGCGTGGTCAATTCACGTGAGGTGATCATGGGGTGTCGACAGTTATATTAGAGACGGTTGTTTCACAAGACCTATGGTTTTGACATGCATTCTTTGGTTTGGTGGGGTTAAACAATGACCTGAATGTGCTCCAAGCGTCTCCGTTATTTAATAATATTTTGCAGGGTAAAGCACCAAACATGTCATACGTTGTGAGTGGAAATGAATATAAGTACAAGTATTACCTAGGTGATGAGATATATCAAGAGTACGCTACAATTGTCAAGTCATATTCATTTCCGGCCGATGAAAAACGAAAATTGTTCAAGTTAGCATAAGAATCTGCAAGGAAGGATGTGGAACGAGCGTTTGGAGTCCTCAAACAAAAGTGTCACATAATCAAACATCCGACACGAAGATGAGATAGGGCAAAACTGATGACGGTGTTGACTGCTTGTGTTATTTTACATAACATGATAACAGAAGAAGAGGGTAGTGTTATTTGTTCATATATCTCGAACGATATACTTAATCCACCTACAGTAATACAAGTTGGCAGCCCGACATACTTCTCAAGGGTTTTGGAAATACAAAATCGTGAAACACATCACAATCTACGTCACGATTTGACCGAGCACATATGGGAAAGACAATTCCATGAGCAAAATGACAATGAGAACGTGGAGGATGAGAGCGGTGACGACGAGGCGGATGAGGACGGTGACGGCGTTGCGGATGATGCCGATGATGAGTAGTATTTTTCTATCTTTTTTTATGTTTTAAACTTTTTTGTTTTTTAGGTAATGTAATGTTTTATTTGGTATGTTTTATGTTTTTTTTAGTAATTTAGGTTTTAAATTTCTATGTTTTTAATTAATAAAATGTGGTTTTTATTTTTCTATGTTTTTAAAATATTTATTTATGTTTTAAATTATGTTTTTTTATTTAATTTAATGTTAAAAAATAAAAAATAATAAAAAAAGAATATTGTGGAGTGGTAACCATTTCCAATGTCTAGGGAATTGGTGGTGAGTTGGTGGTGAAGCTGACGTGACACTGAGTTGACAACGCTTTTCCGATAGCTTGGCTGTGACCACTCCCCGCAGCCTAACAAAAATCCTTTGGGTTTAACCGTGGGTAGTCTCTTGTTCAAAAAATAATGTTGTATGGTTGTATATGATGTAAGTGAGACAAATAAACGGTATAGACCATTTCGTAGGTGTTTCCTACTCACCTGTCTTACTACCATACACTAGACCAATTATGCGGAGACATATAAGTAATTAAGACATAAAAAAGTTAGGTGATCTTCTTGTATTTGTTTGGCAGATCTTTTCCCATTATCCTTTATGAAGCCAGAATAGCTTATAAGTTATAACATTTAAAACCATCGGGCACTCTACTCTAATAGTAAAGAGTTAAGAGCCCATATGTGTGGTCTTAGATGGTTCAAACTGGACCTAATTTCTTCCTATCGAAACATTATTATACTTTCCCTGTTAGGAGAAGGCATTTATCCTTATTTACAACAGTTGGAATCGAAAGAGTACCAAAGCTCCAGAAAACCCGTATATAAATTTTACAACTTTGCATGCTACCCTACAAATGCATATATAAATGTATATATACACACTTCAAAACAACTGCAGCATATTTCCTTGACAGGATGATCCTGGTGTAGCTTTAAAATTTTCTTTTAGGCTCGATACCTCACCAGAACTACTACTCGAACATGACCCTTTCCATTCCTTTCCGTTCAAGCTTGATTCTTGGCAAATTTTCGGCATAGATGTCACAAGTCGAGCTGGGAAATTCAGAAGAGCCTTTGAACCTCTCATCTGAAAGGCAGCCCTGTCGTAAGCCAACGCAGCATCCTCAGCCGTTTCAAAAGTCCCCAACCACACTCTTGCGCCATGTCGCTTGGAGTCACGGATCTCTGCTGCATATTTACCCCATGGACGACGCCTTACACCTCTGTAATGTTTGCTCTTGTTTATGACACGAGTTGGGTCAAGGGTACTTTTGGAAACACCAGTAGCGGGATTCCTGGCTCCAAGGCCATCAATGGCTTCAGCCTCGTTAATGACTTGATAGATGAACATATCCTGTGAATCGTTCTCATTCAAGGGTAACTCATGAACACTAGAAGTTGGTTCCATTTGTCTTTTTTCTTAATGTTGGGAGTTTTTGGATACTATGATTCGTTGAATCTCCTATTTAAGGCTTTGTGTTGATGTTTTATAGAAGTGTTTAAAAAACACAAAAGGAGCAGGTTAGGGTGGCGTTCTAGAAGCATAATATCTTGTTGGGTAAAAGGAAGAAAATTCCATAGGTTGGTGTTTGAATACATTTGGAAAATTGGGTCAAAGAATTTGTACAACAAACCTGATTTCAAATACATATTTATAATAGGGGTGTTTGCGATGCGGTTTGGTGCGGTTTAAAGTCAAAACCGCAAACCGCACCGCATATGCGGTTTGTATTTTTTCGAAACCGCAAACCGCACCGCAAATGTGCCAAACCGCATTCAACGGTGCGGTTTGGTGCGGGTGGTTTGTGCGGTTTAAATGCGGTTTGTGCGGTTTACTAGTTGTTTCACTAACTCTACATCGACTTAAATCATAATAATGATTAACGTATAAGGTAATTACATATTTATTCTTTTTCTATAATAATTAATAAGAATTTTAAATTCTTAAGGAAAATGCATCGGTCTGTCATGACATGGAGCTTTACAGTGAAGTTACCATGACCTATAATCAAATGAGATGAATATTAAAGTGAAGTTACCATGGCCTATAATCAAATGAGATAAATATGTTATTTCTTATTCGTAACTTCATGTAACTAAACTAATGATATGGATGAAATTCAAAATATTTACGAATGAAATAAAATTCATAAAACACATAAATATCTAAATTGTATTTCTATTACATTTTAATTACATAATAAAACGTAGAATTTATGGTTATACAAATTTTATCAATATTTGTGTAAAGTAATCAAAATAATTAGTTTAAAACTATAATATTAATATGCGGTGCAGTGCGGTTTACACCGCGATTTTATAACTAATAACCGCGAACCGCACCGCATAGTGCGGTTTAGAATAAACACGAACCGCAAACCGCACCACGAAATGTCTAAACCGCATTATGCGGTGCGGTTTGGTGCGGTGTGGGCGGTTTGTGCGGTTTATGCAGTTTTTTGCACACCCCTAATCTATAATATGTTTTTATGATATGCTAATATTTTAATCGGTTTCAATAATATACTGGTGTTCCTATTTGAAATTAAAGAAAACTATTGTGAAGTGGTTTACATCAGAGTCAATTTGATTTCTAGCAATTGCCAAATTATTTATTGGTTAACCTGCATCCATTTTGTTAGGGGCCATACAAATTTTCTATAAGTCTTTGTATAAATTAAATTACTAGCTATAAACGATAATTTAAAAAAATTCAAATTTAATCCCTTAAAAGTAAAATGGGAAGGCGGCTAATTTGTTAATTTTGGTTCCCACTTCAGGAATTTAATACAATACGAACACGCAGACAATTCAACCGGTTCTAGTCTTCTAGACTTGTAGTTGTAGAGGCGACATCACCATCGGAATTGGTAAGCCATGACGTCATCTGTTGTGTATTTCCATCGGACTTTTTTCCATTAGCTGGGACCCGACCAGTGGAAATATAGATTGCCATATTAATTAATTTAGAAATCGAACAACACACTATAGTATAAAATGCATAAAAGTTCTATGTGCAGCTCAAAGAATTTTCCGAACTGTCCGAACAATAACTATGTAAACTTGTCCAACAATCAAATATATAACGAATGAATTTTTGAACAAAACTTATGAAAAACATCGATGCAATCAACCAATCAATATCAATAAACAAGCACGATGATTTTACATGGTTTCACAATGCTGCATCCACAAAGAAAACCCGAGGGTTATGTTCAATTGATCATAAACTGAATGAAGCTAGCAATTACAAAAATGTAAACTATCACTAAGAATTAAAGTTATAAGCTTTGATAAAATATCTCACATTACCGCCTATATTCTATCAAAATTCATTAATGTGCGAAAATCAAGATCCTAGAAACAGATGCCCATTAGGCCATCCGTAATAGTCTTCACGACCACCACCGTCTTCCACCTCCCCGTCACCACCACAACTCTTCCCCTTGCAACCGGTATAGTGTGCAAGAGAGGAGATCGTGGTTAAAGCGAGAAATTAGACCCGAAGGATAAAGAATGCAGAGAGGAAGAGTTTGTGGTCAAATGTGGTGGTGTTCACGATCCTCCACGACACTGAACAACCACAAAGGTTGGGAATAGTGTGCACCGCCGTTGTTCGTGGCCACGTCAACCATGACGAGCCTCGTGTTCAGTATATCGTGAGGCCTTATATAAGAAAAGCATATAAGACGCCTCTCCTAAACCCCTGTCAACCGACAACACAACAACACAACCATACCAAAACAAACAAAGGAAATTGAACCATAGACCGTACATAGGGGTTTAAACGAACCAAATGAACACAAATAAGAGTTTGTTCATTTTCATTCGTTTAAGTTTAACCAAACAACGTACAAGTTTTCTTATTTATATTCCTTTACTCAACAAATTATCTTGTTTATGCACGTTCATTTATTTTCGATAGATGTAACAAATCGAACATAAAC